TCCCTTAAATGAAACATCTACTTTGCAAGTATTGCAAGTTGCCCTGTTGTCATCCGTTCTCGTAAAGTAAAACCAAACTTTTGAGCGTTTGAGCCGCTTAGGCGCCGTGTTTCCTGCCAGGTAAATGACGCTCCGCAACATGGTGACGTCATTCGGGGCGACTGGAATTGATAAGGGAATGTTTGCAAAAAAGACAAACAATTCCAAGGAATTGAAACAGTGGGAACCGGTTCTCAACAAGAACCGGGTTTCGATACCCATCCCTAATGAAACCTGATTACTGGGAGTACATGTTTTCCACTAATGGATGATTCAAGCAAGTCCAACACAAAGTCACAGACCATGTAATGTCCAAATCTCCCCTGGGATTAACAGTAGCACAAAAACCGCCCTCTGGGAGATTCAGGGACTGAGTTTTCATAGCCCTGCAGCTCCTGTAGGAGGACTGTGTAGGTGGGCCAGTAGTTTTTAAACACACCAGCTTCTCATGTTATGTTTCCCTTCTTTCTGTTTTACTTGCCTAGCTGCCTTTGTATCAGTGTCCTTGTTACCAATTTGTTTCCCCTACAGTTGGATGTAGTCTAAGTTTACCTTCCTGGACTGTCCCGGAGATTTTTGAGTTAAGAAGTTGTTCTTACCAGGAACTGCAACATATGGAGGACTAGTTGTTAGACCAGTCTTAGCTGGACTGCATAGCTGAACAAAGACTAAAACCTGCAGACCAAGATGCTGAAGTTAGAGTTCATTCTCTACAGACTCACTGTGAAACATGCTCTCATTTGTCGAAAAGTCTAAGTCTGTGAGAAATGTTTGAGTTACTTGAGAGTTAATTTTAACCCTGTAACACAAGAAAGCTTGCTTCTGTCTTCACTCCAGCAATGAAGTATTTTTTGCTTTTATGTTGTCCAGCAGCAGAAAGTGCTCAGCACGCCTTAAACACACGAGAGAACACAAGAGATGATCAAGTAGCATTCACATTGTGAAGCTCATTGTCCTGATATCTTCACCTTTTCTATGAGATAATCTTAGTTGTCTCTAGCTCTGTAAGTGTGTGTGTGCTGTTCTGAGTTTCATAGAGAGGAAAATTTGACTGTTCTGTCATGTTTAAAGGTCTCCTTTGACATTTATGTTTGAGCTTTAGGGTGTTGGGATTAGCAGTACAGTGTATTACCTGTGTCTGCTTGTCCAAATGTACTCACGTGTTCCTGTTAACAGTAGTTCTTTGCCGCGTGCACGTGACTATGTTTTGTCTCTCCGCGTTCACCGTTACATCACTCGGCTTGTACTCTTGAGTTTTTTCCCCCGCTGATCTGCAGCTTAGCATCTGTTTGCACATATCATCCCTCATCTTTAAAGTCTGGGTGTGGACAGAGGGAAGTGAACAAGCACCAGTGCCCAAGCACATCTCCGCCCTGCTCAGGTGGAACCTGGATTAGAGCCCAGAAGTGAGGATCCCGGGGACAAAGAGAATCTGAATCAGTGCTCTCTCATTGGACAATACACCAGGAAGAATTTGTGGTTTAACAAAAGAAGGATAACAGACCCAAATCAAAAGTTGAAATCTGAGAACTGAGATGCACAGACTATTAATCAGCATCAAATCTGAAGTCTCTCCTTTGCTTTTCTTTCTTTTGCTATTATTTTCTAATTCCATAGATTTCCCATCATCCTTGCCTCTTTTCCTTTAAAAAAAATATTTTAAAGATTTCATTGTGATTAGGAAAAATGCTCCAAATCACTTGCTGTGCTTCTATTTTTAGCTTCTTGTCTCTTTAGCCTCTTTGCCAAAGGTTCAATCTGAGCACCCTCCCTATTTTTTTTTTTTGGTCTCCCCCCATTTCTACTTTCTCTTTCTCCCTTTTTTCTCCCTCTCTTGTTTCCCTCTCTGTTGCCCTCCTTCTGTCATTGTGATTAGACCAATAGAGGAGATCAGAGGGAATAAAAGCATGACCAGCACCAATGACCTTTCCCCTCCTTTTCTCTTTCTCTCTCCCTACTCTGTGCCAAGCTCACTTTCTCATTGTTGGGAATTTTCCTCCACTTTTCTTTCTCTACAATCACACAATGCAGCAGCAGCAGCAGTTGTAGTACTTGTAGCAGGTGAAGTTGCCAATAGTATTCTTTGGTCTGTCCTTCTCTATTAATATTCTTTGTTAAAAATATTTATAAACTTTGTCTTCTAGAAAAAAATGCCTAATTCCAGGAATCTCTCTAGTTTTATACTCAAAGAAATTTTAAAGTCATTTGGATTGGAACTTTTGAGCGAACCTCAACCTTGATTATTGCTCTCACAGTCTGGGGTCATATGATCTAATACAGAAAACACATAAGCTCCACCCTGCAAACTTTCAAACCTCATCACAACATATCCTCATCCACATCTGTCCTCTTCATCTTCGTCAGATGTCAACTGACGTCTTTCCTCTTCATGAGCAGTCAGTGAAATGTCAGCCAAGACCCTCGAGTTTGACCCTGGAGAGAGGTTCAAACAGCTGTTTCATATAGAGCATTTTTTTCTTGGGTTCACACAGAAACAATCAAGACTGCAACACTTTGTTTGAGCAGGTGACAAAATTTCAGGCATCATCAATAAATTCAGAGATCCATATGAGCACTTGCAGATTTTGTCTATCTCATCATCGGATCCATAAGCACGGATGGATGTGTTTGGGTTTTTTGAAGTTTACAGAGCCTCGTGTAGTTTAAGACTCATGGGTCAGCTTATAAAGGTTCTCTCTCTCTCTCGCTGTCTCTCTCTGGGTGGCCTATAAACTCCAAAAGAGCTGTGTGATGTTCCATAGATATCTCAGGAATGGAACCCAAAAGGTTCATCTGCAGTTCACTTGGAGTTTATAAGCTGCAAAATAGACATGTTCAGGTCTGTGATGACCGGGGAGTCTCTATCATCTGATGCATTGTTGTTCAGTGCCAACAAACTGACATGTACTGAAGATTTTTTTAGTTTTTGGCCCTCTGAATAAAAAATAAACTTGCCTCTGAGGTCCACATCATTACAACTGAAAACCCTAACCCTTTATTTTGGAGAAAGGCAAACTGGACTTTTTTGGGAAAACTGAACAGTTTTTCATGAGCAAAAGTTATCTGTGTTCCTTGACAAGGCAATCTAACAGAAATAGAAAGTGACATATTCTTATTGGATGGGATTGGAGTAAGAGTTAAGGTTGGGGTCTTGACTGATGATGACCCAAAAAGTCAGACAGTTAAAGTCAAGAATAAAACTTTATGAGCTTTTCTGCAAATTTCTGCAGATACTACAACATATAAACCAAATTTTTTCCATTAATATGTAACAGATATAATAAAATCAAAGTGTATGACTGAAGAGTTGAAGTTACACCTTTCTAGAAGGTAAATCTGCATCTGAACGTCTTTTCCTTCAGTATTTATAAGCAGTAAAAGATGTTTATCAGCGTTTCGTATTGCATGATCTTTGTTTCAGTTTTTGTAAGTTCATGTAGGATTCATATTCTTGAGCTTGAAATCCGTTCCAGTAGTGGATGTTCATATTACATATTACAAGTAATCCCTGTGACCTGAAAGGCTTTAGACTGCTCTAAATGATCAGTTTCAGACAGCTTTAAGACATCTTAGGCACACCAGCTACACCATCAGCCAATCAGAGGAAAGTTGTCTCAGGAGACAGGAGCTAAAACAGCTTGTTTCAGAGAGAGAATGGACTGCATCGAGGCACCGAGATAAGATAAAGAGGGATCAGTTTGAACTGTGAATCATGCAAAGCTACTCTAGGGCACTCCAAGAATAAAAATATGTCATTTAGAAATTTACACAAAAGGTCTACTTTAAAGTGAGATTGCTTGTTGAGGCCGCTGCTTGAACATTAAAATGAAACTTTATCTATTATAATTTTAAAAAATTTCCATAAGGACCGAATCTCATATAGAAAAGCTCCCGTAAATGCAGATCACCAGAGGAGTGTTTTAGAGCTTCAGTAGCCGAATGTCACGCACACTGAACCTGTGTTGAGTGCAGATAAATGAGAAAACACAAAACTCATTTGGAAGAAGTCAATGCACACATCAGACATCATTACTGTATGAACTCTGTGTGAGCATGCTGCTTCTCTTACTGGCTGAGTTATGCTGACATGTGCTTCTCTCTGCTGCTGTTTCAGAACCATGAACAGCACTTTTAGTTGCATGCTAGTTGTATGATAGTTCTTCTACTTAACCTGACCATGTGAGCTCTCAACTGATACCATCACTACCTAATACACATGATAAAAAATAATCATAATAATAATGAAAAATACCCAACAAATGTTATAAAAAATCGGCGAACTCCTCTCATCCTCAATCCCGAGAATCAGCACAACCCTAGCGTGCCGTCACATGGCGCAATAATAGTAATAATAACTGTTGAATCGGAAGTTTCTCTCACTGAAAGTGTTTCAGGCTTATTTGTACGCTGACATTAGATCAGATCTCAGATTGTAACTTGAATGCTGGTTTAATCTCTTAACCCCCAACGCCCCCAGATACGGGGGCAAAAGGCAGGAGATGGGTTAGACGCAATTGGATAATAAACACCATACAGAACGTGATGGCACACATTGTGTTTGGAGAATACATAAAAAAAATTCCTGCACTTCATCAATAAGCACCTCTGCCTTCTCTAAATCCACCTTAACAACTTTTGACCTTTTTAAAATTACATCAAATTTGTCAGTGTCTGGCAGCTGCAGCAGCAGCAAATATTGTCGGTGTGACTCATTGCGTTGTTTACTCATTGCGTTGCTGTGTTTGATTGTTGCCATATTTTTATCAAGGTGTTTGAAGTGGTGCTCTTGCAGCGGCGTGTTCAGTGTCATACTTTTATACCCCACAGTTCCACTAAAAGGAGGGAGAGGATGTCTCGCCCACTTTGGATAAACACCTGAAAGTTTGATCTGGAACAGCTATCGCATATCTCATGCATTTCCCAGAATTTCTTTCTAATTTGTCACCTTTTTATTTCTTCAGGGTGGCAAGTTTGATGAGCCATGTGACGGCTTGGACTGCAGCAGAGGGTGCAGGTGCTTTCCAGAGAAAGGAAGCAGGGTGAGTCTTTCACAAGTTTTCAACTGTGTACTCTCCTCTGGAGTTTGGGGAAATGCTTTCCATTTCATGTCCTCGTCACTTGTTTAAGTCCAATAACAACACCTGAGAAACTTGTTGAAAGACTTCAACTTGGTAGCAAAGTCTGTGTTGAACCCAGTTTCTCAGATAGATGATGGATCTAAGAAGTTCTTAGTTCAGCTAAACTCTTATTAGTAGATATTTAAAATTTTATTATTAAAAACCTGCAACAAAGTAGTTTTAAAGTTGCTCATGTACATTTCTCTGTACTTTCCTTCTAGAGAAAGATGTATGTCTTTCTAAAATCGGTGGAATACGAACACATCAAAGTATCATCAGAAATTATAAGATGCCTAAGACAGCTCAGACTGTGTTAAAGAATAAAGGTGGTCACACCAAATATTGTCTGTCAAGCTTGTTAAAATTGTAGAGCCTGTGTTTTTTCCACTTTCTCTACTGCATTTCTATATGTATATGCATCCAAAATGAGGGCTGGCTGCAGACTCTGGCACAGTTTTGCAAAAAGAAAAAAACAACTTCAAGTTTCACAGTTGTTCACTCGATGTTAGGAACTATTAAACACTCCTTTATTCATCTAGAGTCATCGTCGTTATCTTACTTAATCTTAATTTTGTTATCTGGCAGCTTTACAGTCACACAGAGGAGTTTATTGTACTGATAACTGCACTGATCCTCTTTGAGGTTTCAGTTAATTATGGTTTTTACTCTGAGGAAACAAGTACATTACCTTCATTTAATTAAGGAATAATTACCTCGAGGCTTCAGTTCCAGGCCTTATCTCTCTCCATCGTACAGCTACATACATTAACACCCAGAAACATTATCGCTATTTGACACATATCAAAGCGACGCCTGTATCAGACTGTGTAATGCAAGCTCCGACAGTTCTCATCAATAGCTGTAAATGTGGTTTCTCCAGAAGACGAATCAACGAGTAAACACAAAACAGCATGTGGCTCCGGGCGAGGAACTTATTTTCTCATCACCGCTACCATGAAATTAACAATAACATCCAAACAAAGGCTGGCAGAATATGATGGAGTCAGCTCACTGATTAGTGGTGATGACACATACGCACAGTATATATCACCCGTCATCTGTTTGCACTTCAGTATCGAGCAAAAGAGCGGCTGACTCCTCTGATTTATGGCTGGAATTTAAGAGGAAAGTTTTAAATGTCAGTGTGATCCTGCTGGTCTCTAATAAATTACTGTACGAGGTTTTAAAACAGCTTCAGCATCATCGGGCCAGACGTGCAAGTGCTGCAAACAAACACAAACTCTCTAAAACAACAGAATGTGGCGATATTAATGCTTCCAATACAAACTGCTGCTTTATTAGCAAGATTTAAAAATGAGTAAATCACAGTTGCTACAGCAATAAAACATCAGCCATAGTTTTAAATGTTGCTTTTGAGTCAGAATCGACCGAGTGCCGGCGTTAAAAAAAAAACAGTACACAAAGAGAGCGAAGTCATAAGATTAATGTAAGAAATGGGCGCCTGCTACATATATATTTCTGAGAGTTCTCATTTTATGAAACAGGGAATATTTAAATGAAGAGCACAAACTGCTTTACTCATGTTTGCGACAGTTTTCTGCCAATTGTTTTTTTTTGGGTTTTTTTGTGGTTAACATTGAAATGAACTGCTTAGAAAACAGCAGAACCACGCCTATGAGCGCTGTTTGAGGATTACACACTATTTTACCCTGCTTTTTAAATCTTACACTCTTGTCACTGCTCTTTGAGCTTTACTTTGTTCCAAATCAGTAACTGAAAGTGCACTAGAAGAAAGTGAAAGTGTCATTCTTTTAAACTTTTTTTTATTCCTCAGAAAAATCCTATTTATCCTTGGATTTTTCCCTCTCGGGCTACAAACTGGGTTGTTGATGGGTGAGGCCACCGGTATTACCCTTTAAACGAAGCATGAAAAAAAACAGTCGATCTATCCATCCAAAAATCCATAAATCCATCCATCCATCCTCTTCTGCAGAGGTCGTCTCCAGGTACTCTTGCTTCCTCCCACAGCCCAAAGACATAGATGTAGTCGTGTTGGGTTAATCGGTGAGTCTAAATTGTCCACAGGTGTGAGTGTGAGTGCAAATCAGTGAGCATAATCCAAATATGAAATAGTGAAACGCAGCAAAAATCCTTTTAGTATAAATAAACAGGATTTGGTTGTTGCTGCTGATCTAAAATAGCCCTGTTTTTCTTATGTAAATCAGTGAATCGTGCTCTTCAATAAAACAGCAAATTATTATTAGATCATTTCCAAAATTAAATCCCTGCTTAGACGTCCTGACTAAAGCCAGACTAACTGTAAGCTCGGTCTCTTTCAGCCTTTATCCAAACAGCAATTACTGTCTGACACAGCAGCCCTACACTTACTGCCTGCTAACTGTACACCACTTTAGGTAAATAACATGGTGACGAGTGTCGCCTTACCCGTAGGTAAATGTAGGTAAATGATACAGCTCAGGTAATGCCACCTACCTCTGCTCAGCCCCTCTGATAAGCCTAAATGACACAGCCGCTGTGTCTTTAACTGTTACTGTTGGGAGCCGTTTGAGTGGGAAGGTGCTCATTTGTCTCTTTTCAGTTTTACTTTTGTAGTTAGAGCTCAGAGAGCTCAGGCATGCTCCCAATAACGGCCGTTAACGGACGCCCGACTGGGTTCTGTCAGCTGAAGCGTTGAACACAAAGCGAGGTTTAAAGGAGACTCGAGTTATGTCACAAAGGAAAGTTTTTAAATCTCTGTTTCTAAACTTAAAGCAAACCAGTGCTCACAGACTTAAACATTAGCTGTTTGCTTTCACGGTTGTTTCTCTATAAAGGAATTAAGGGAGCATATTTATGTTTTTGCCTTCAGTGAATGTTATTTATGTATGTACATGTATACAGTGTCTAACAAATGATTAGACCACTAACTAAACCCAATGTTTATGTGACAGCTGCCCTAAATTAACTGTACTAGTAATCGATTTTTAATGTTTCTGTAATGGTTAATCGAGGAATATGTGCAACATCCACAATTAAAATTGTGTTTTTAATGTAAAATATAATTATTATTATTGTAGCCACGAATTGTTTAAATTCAATTAAAGTACAAAAAGTTTGGGAGCCGTTGGGTTAGAAATGACAGATGAATTCCTTCAGGTTTCATTAATGGTCCAGAAAAATAAAAACAACAAAAAATACTGTTGAATGTTGAAAGTCAAGTACAACAGAAAAATAGATAAACTGGATTACTTAATTATTGGTGATCAGTAAGTTGTTTTTAAAGTTCACATTAGACCAATAAAATATAAAGAAATGAGGGCTGGCTCAAGACTTTTGCACAGAACTGTGACTCAGTTTTGAGTTTAAGTACACTCCCACCTCAGTGGGACTCTAAAAACAGTATCCCAGCATCGATCGTCGTCACGCTCATACATGATGTAAACATTCAGACAAGTAAAGAGATATTAAATATTTCACAGATCATTATCTTTAATTGGGTTTTAAGATCTTTCCCGATATTAAAGACGAGTGGAAGTTCTGCTATCTTGCATCTGCAGCCTCGCAGGCCCCCCTAAATCCTCCTGAAGACATCTCTAATGCTCTTTACCTTGTAAATCCCACTTTAATGGCTTCTCCCCGAGTTCCTGTCACAGCCCTGCCTCTCCAGACACACAGCAGTGAGATGTTTCTACAGTCTGTCAAATATCTTCCTCTGATTTCCTCTTGATAAGTTTGCTTTGGACGAGAAACAGTCAGCCGGCGCTGTCAGGATTTCAGCCGGACGTGAATTGCGTTTATCATCCCGGAGCTGTTTCTGCTGGAAACTTTGTCAGCTTTTATTAACATAGTAAAAAATGGATGTGCTGATATGAATCAAAGATAGCTGAGGGTAACTGACAACGTTTAAATGTTGTCGCGTATGTTTTGTGCAGATGTGCTCTTGAACCCTTAAGGGGAACTTTTATGTTTTTCTTAAATTTCCTATCTGCACACAAGGACGTCTAAGAACCGGAACAAATGAGGGGGTTTATCAGGAGTTCATCTCACAAAGAAAAAGCAGCACTCTCTATTCATCAGATACTTTGATAGTGGAGAAAAAGCACAACATACCACGAACCATCACTCTTCCATGCATCGATCTCTTATCAGTTGCTCTTTAAGCTGCCTTAGTTTGCCCACAGCTGCTGCACATCAGCACGCTGCATCTGATGTAGTGTTAGCTTACAGCACCTCATTGAATCCACATACATCCCACCTACACCATAGCGGCATAGTGATGTCCACGTTTGTAATGTTACTGCTGGTGTCGCTACATTGATCCGCCTTCACGAGCAGAGCTGAGCTGTTTATGTTGGACTGGAGTTAATAACTCTTGGTCATTTACTTAAAAAAGAAAAAGATTTCGGAAGAGACTAGACGTGCGGTAATAGACACATCGGCCGATCGACCACCAGAGGAAGATATTTTATTTGAAGCCAACATGAGAAGAATCATGGGAAAACATTTAAAGAGACATCAAAAACACATTTACATGTAAATACATATCAGTCACCAAGCTTAATTGTTTCCAGCGTAGAAGGAGCCTGGGAGGTACTTCATACCTTCTTTGTATTACCTCCCCCTGCTGATACTGTAACTTGAGCATGCATGTCCGTTTCACGCTTTGGAGAGGCAAAGCTTGACATCTACACGGTGGTGGACCAGCGTCTATTACACGCTGTGCCGTGATACTGGGTTGGACTGAGTTGCATTTGTGCAAACTAGATACAATTCATTACAATACAGTTATACTTGTGCTAATAAATGGACTGTAAACATACCGTACAGTGTTTATATTACTAACAAGCAGAAACATGACAGCGGTTAAATTACATCCTCTAACCCATTGCATTTTAAAGTGTGACATATGTGACACAGCATATGAAAACCAGGCCAAAAGGACAAGTTTTCAGTTTCATTAC